AGCACGACTTCATCATGGCGACGTACCTGGCCGACAGGGTCATCGTGTTCGACGGCATTCCCTCCACGAAGACCTTTGCGAACAGGTAAGACCCTGAAAATGTGTGGAACTCCCTTTACGATCAGAGTCTTTAAACCTCGGCCTGTTTTCTCCGTCAGGCCTCAGAGTCTGCTGGCTGGGATGAACCGCTTCCTGTCGCTGCTGGAGATCACGTTCAGGAGAGACCCAAACAACTTCAGACCCAGAATCAACAAACTCAACTCCATAAAGGTACGGCGGACTTTAATGCGTCTGTCGGTTTTTACCGTTTAAACTGATGGAAACGCCTCAACAAACTCCGTCTCACCTGCAGGACACGGAACAGAAGAAGAGCGGGAACTATTTCTTCCTGGACGATTAAACCTCCGAGCATCGGACCAGCGCCTCAACATTTCCAGCCGGGCTGCGTTCACATCCACCATAAACAAAAATAAACCCATCAGCCTTCCTGTACCGAGCTGCGTTCAGTAACCGGCCATGTTGTGACGTGTAAATGAAGCGCATCCTGCGTGCGTCGGCCCGACCGCGGGGCTGAGCCCACGCAGCGGAGGCATCGCAGAACATTCAGCAGTGTATTTAAACACTCATGCATTCACATCGAGTTTAATAAACTGATGCTTCCTGAACTGGCACCGCCTCTCTGTTTCATTTAGTTTATGTTTCACTTCAAAAGTACTTTATTAATCCCAAAGGGAAATTAAATGTTACTCGTTATCCTCGTTTCGTTAAGAGATGTTATAGATACTGATGGCTGTAGGCAGGAAGGATCTCTTGTAAAGGTCCGTCACACAGCAGATCCAAAGAAACTGGCCCCAGATGCCGTCCGATCCATCCAGACTCGGCTGGCCTCTCGGTTCCCCCAGGCAGCAGGACCGTCCAACGCCTGGCGCCACTCCTCCCAGCAGCCTGCCGAGCTCCTCGTCGCTGCGGACAGCCAGCTGCAGGTGTCTGGGGACGATCTCGGTCCTTCTGCTGTCATGAGCCGTGTTTCCTGCTAATTCCAGGATCTCTGCTCAGACACTTGAGCACAGCTGGCAGGGAGACGGGAATGCATCTATGGAGCCTCCTTTTCAACTCATTCGAGATTTGGGGCTGTAGCTGAGATTTTATTTGAGCTTTTCAGATGTTAATCAGCTGCTCCTGGTTGTAAAAAAAACAAACATGTTGCCATGGTTACGCATCATAACAAATGTCCAAAACTAAAAAAAAGTGTCAGTAAAAATCCTTCCAGCTGCACAGCATCACACACCAGAGGGAACAATCATCCAAAATGTGATTTATATCCAGCAGAAGAGGAACTAAAGTTTATAAAAGTAAAATCTCAGAATGGAAGTAACAGAGCTCGGCGCGATTCGTCTTCCTCAGGGACGTCGGTGTCTCTCAGCCATCACACGTGGAGCAGAGGACTGCCGTCTAAGGCAGCTGGGGGGATAGGGGCCTTGCTCCAGGGACAATGGTGGGGCTAAAATGAGGGTGGGTACAGATGTGAAGCCTTTCCAGTAGTGGAACCAACAGAACCAGCATTAACAATAATAGAATTAGCATCAGCTAGCTAGCAGTATCAGAACTGTAGCTAATGCACAGCATGTGTGTAAGCGTTGCAGTGAAAGAGGGCGTGAAGGGAAAATCAATATTTGTCATGTCTCAGAGTTCGGCTGCTTCCGGGTCAGAGAAGGAGAACTTTTCTGTAATTTTCCATTTGGTACACGAGACCGATGACGCGTAATCAGTGTTTTATAAATACGAAGCAGTCTTGAGTCGGGGGCTGACTCTTTCATGTCGGTCTTTGTTTGGACCGAGTTCCTTTACGAAGACTGTTTTCTCTCCTACAGGCTCATTAGAATAATTTCTACCACAAGGGTTAGAGTTGGAACTGGCAGCAGTAACAAAGTTCACATTAGTACTAGTACCATTAGTAGTATCAGCAGAGATGGTGTTGGCAGAAGTTTGATGACCAGTAAACAGATTTTGAAAAAGAACTGCTTCAATCCATCATCTTCCACTTGTTCTGGGCTCAGGTCTCAGGGACAGCATCTTGAGCAGGGAGGTTCAGACCCCGAGGTGCTCCCAGGCCAACTGAGAGACGTAGCAATCACTTCAAGATTTTGAAAATATCTGCTGAGAAAATATTTAAGTAGTTAATTTGACTTTTCCCTCTTCAGAGGTCTCCACAGCAAGTCATCCTCCATCTCTGTCCATCTGTAACTCCAACTACCTCCGTCCTCTAATTGCATCCATGTACAGGTGCTGGTCAGTTAGAATATCATGAAAAAGTTGGTTTATTTCAGTAATTCCATTCAAAAAGTGAAACTTGTATATTATATTTATTCATTACACACAGACTGATATATTTCAAATGTTTATTTCTTTTAATGTTGATTATAACACAACTAATGAAAACCACAAATTCAGTGTCTCAGAAAATTAGAATATTAATTAAGACCAATTAAAAAAATGATGTTTAGAAATGTTGTCCAAATGAAAAAGTATGAACATGTTCAGCATCAGTACTTAGTTGTTGCTTCTTTTGTCTGGATCACTGCATCAATGCATCGTGTCATGGAGTGGATCAGTCTGTGTCTCTGCTCAGGTTCTGAGAGTCCAGGTTGTTCTGATCGTGGCCTTCAGCTCTTCTGAGTTGTTGGCTCTGGTGTATCACATCTTCCTCTTCACAATAACTCATAGATCTTCTATGGGGTTAAGGTCAGGTGAGTTTGTTGAACAATTAAGAACAGGGTCCTTAAACCAGGTACTGGTATCTTTGTCACTGTGTGCAGGTGCCAAGTCCTGTTGGAAAATGAAATCTGCATCTCCATAAAGTTGGTCAGCAGCAGGAAGCAGGAAGTCTCTAAAACATCCTGGTAGATGCTGCGTTGACCTTGAACCTCAAAAAACACAGTGGACCAACACCAGTAGAGGACATGGCCCCAAACCATCAGTGACTGTGGAAACTTGACACTGGACCTCAAGCAACATGGATTCTGTGTCTCCTCTCTTCCTCCAGACTCTGGGACCTGGATTTCTAAAGGAAATGCACAATTTACTTTCATCAGAGAACAGAACTTTGGACCACTCGGCAGCAGTCCCAGGTGAGACACTTCTGATGCCGTCTATTGTTCAAGAGTGGCTTGACATAAGAAATATGACAGTCCTGTCTTATTTTTGTCTTGCATACGTTTGAGCGTGGTGGTTCTTGAAGCACTGACTCCAGCTGCAGTCCACTTTTTGTGAATCTCTCCCACATTTTAGAATGAGTTTTGTTTCACCATCCTCTCCAGGATGAGGTTATCCCTATATTGTTTGTACACTTTTTTTCTACCACATCTTTTCCTTCCCTTCACCTCTCTACTTGGACACAGAGCTCTATGAACAGCCAGCCTCTTTAGCAATGGCCTTTTGTGTCTTGTCCTTCTTGTGCAAGGTGTCCATGGTCATCTTTTGGACAACTGTCCAGTCAGGAGTCTTCCACATGATTGTGTAACATACAGAACTAGACTGAGACCATTTAAAGGTCTTTGCAGGTGTTTTGAGTTAATTATCTGATCAGAGTGTGACACTAGGTGTCTTCAGTATTGAACCTTTTCACAATATTCTAATTTTCTAAGATACAGAATTTGAGGTTTTCATTAGTGGTTAGTTATAATCATCAACATTAAAAGAAATAAACATTTGTAAACAATATATCAGTCTGTGTGTAATGAATGAATATAATTTACAAGTTTCACTTTTTGAATGGAATTACTGAAATAAATCAACTTTTTCATGATATTCCAATTTTATGAGCAGCACCTGTATCTCCTCTTTGTCTTTTTCCTGCAGCTGCATTTCTATCATCCTTCTACCAATAAACCCAGTGTCCCTCCTCTGGACATGTCCAAACCACTGTCCCTCCTCTGGACATGTCCAAACCTCTGTCCCTCCTCTGGACATGTCCAAACCACTGTCCCTCCTCTGGACATGTCCAAACCTCTGTCCCTCCTCTGGACATGTCCAAACCACTGTCCCTCCTCTGGACATGTCCAAACCATCTCAGTGTGTCCTCTCTAACTTTAT